GCAGCTGGGCTTGAGCCGGCTGTCAGAATGAGAGCCTTGTCTTCACACTGACATTCCTTCTACTTCTCAGAAACTCTGTCTCAGCCCTGCAAAGGGCCCTACCTAGAGACCCAGCCCATTTGGTTGATCCGACCTACTCAGCTTATGAGACAAACAAGGCTGGAGAGTAGAAGGGTTTTGTACAAAGTCAGATGGTCAGAAGGAGAATTAAAGATTCCTGGCCTGCTGCCTTCTGGCCCCAAAGTCTCTTCCCTACACTACTTCTTTTAGGGATTTGTCACTACCTGCAGAGTGATGTCAAATTCCTGTATTTAGCATGGGCCCCAATTAGTAGGAAGCAGGGTGTGGTATGACAGGAAGAGTGAGAGCAATAGTCATAGAGTCAGGAAATCCGGGTTCTAGTCCTGAGCCATCTTCGTGCCTCAGTTTCCTCACCTGTGAAATAAGAGGTCTGAACAAAATGCTAATGTCTCATCTAAAGTTCTAGAAGTTTCTGATTTCCTCCTTGTAATCATACTAAACGGTCTGGTGCTTGCAGTTGTCCTTGTACTCATGCTATTAGTCACACCTAGAATGTACCTTTTGTTTCTCTTCCTTTATATCTTTCAAGGCCCATCTTGACTTTTCCTGATATTTACTCATTCAGAAAATTTTCCTCGTGAACAAGCTAAGCACTCCCACTTCAGCACTTAGAACGCGCTCTTCCTTGACCTATATCACTCCTTCTAAAGAGCCACAAAATGTGGCCTCAGTCCTACTGAGTGTCTGCTCAAATGAAACTCACAAAGATGCTTTCCCTAACCACCTTACCCAAAATAGGACTTTTCCAATCACTCTCCCCACTTTAGTTCTTGTTGTAGCTCTTATTATACAATTATGTTTAGCCCATCTCACCACATTGGAACGCAAGCTCCTTTAAAACACCAATGTGTCCTTTTTTAAACTTAGAACAGCACCTGACACATAATAAGCACTCAATAAATATTTGGTGAATGAAAGAAACACAATTATTTGTAAACAATTAAGTAACAACGAGACCGAGCTACAGAGACCCCACATTTAATACTACCCTGAGGTGTTTCTCAGACTCAATAGCTTCTTCTGTAAGAAAGCCCTGCATGAATGTCCCAAACAGCAGAAAAATGTAACCGAGGAAGGGAGCAGAGATGTAGTCAGGCAGCAAGGGGTCTATTTGGAGTCAACCATGCTCTAGTTCTAAGTTCTGTCAATGTGCAACCTTAAGCATGTCCTTAACTTCTATAAATCAGGTAACAATCTACCTCACAGGTATACAATGAAGATCAGAGAAAATCATTTATGTGAGCGCATCTTGTCAAATACAAGGCATCATACCCTTTGGGTATCAAAGTCATCATATCCTTTGGGTAAAATATTACTAAAGGCCAGAAGTAAGCCCAAATTGTTAATATGGGGATAGCTTTATTTAAAGATAAACTGTCATATGAAAAATAACCCATTCTTTAAAAAAATGCCTGCACAGGTTGGTGTGGCTCAGTGGACTGAGTGCCGGCCTGTGAACCAAATGGTCGCTGGTTCGATTCCCAGTCAGGACACATGCCTGGGTTGTGGGTCAGGTCCCCAGTGGAGAATGTGAGAGAGGCAACCACACAATGATATTTCTCTCCCTCTCTTTCTTCCTCCCTTCCCCTCTAAAAATAACCAAATAAAGTATTTTTTTAAAAATGCATATACATACATAAATGTCAGTCCATTTACAGGTATACATATTTTAGAAAAAAAGCACAGGTCTAAAAAGACACACACTGAAAATGAACCTGACTTACAAGAAAACTCTGACCTGAAATCCTTCCATGTATCCCACTCTTTAATGTGAACTCTTTTTGCCAGACTTCAAACAGCCCACCGACTACCACGAGACTGAATTTCCCAGTGAAGAAATCAACTGCAGCGTCTTGTAGGTTGCCTCTCTGGGCCTCGGGACACATGAGGCTGTCTATGGCTTCCACCCATTGTTTCTGGGCTGGTTAATAAAAGCAAGCCACTCAACCACCTAAGTTATAGCTCAACAACCCCTAGAACAGGTTAGTATTACTTGTTGCGTTGGGCAGATTAAAAAACCAAGCCTTATATCCTTCAAAAAGCCAATCTTGCTTAATATTCAATGCACATATGTTTCTTCCTAAATTGAATGCCTATAGTAGTCACTGATGGACATGCACTTCGGTGCTAGATCTCACACCATCTCTGCAGCATAACAAATGACTTCCTTATGTGGCAAGAACTGTATTACACTTCTCATATATTCCTAAGGGAACCTAGCATAAAGCTTTTTTAGCACAAGGAAGATACTCGGAAACACTAATCTGAATTGCACTTAATTCTCCAGAATTTAGGAACAGAGTCAAACTTAGAATTCTCACTTCTAAGTTTCAAATGTAATTCATAACTTACCAAAATAACACTGCTGATTCATACTGTTTACATTTTAGTTTTGTGCACAGACAAAGCTCCCTGAGATATTCCATCCCCCACAAGGAGGATGGAATGACCCTCTTCCATTTTATGCCTCACAATGCACCCAAAACATTTCTTCCACAAAACCTATAATAGTTTATTGCTCTGATGACAGGTCTGCTCCAAAAAGTGACTGTGCGGTCCAGGTAAGAATACCACCTAACTCATCTTCTTTTTTCTTATCACCTGAGCCTAACACTGTGAGACACACAATAGCACTGGAATATCCAAGAATGTTAGAAGGGGAGTAGGTGAAGGAGAAAGGATAAGAAAAAGATCACGGGGTTGTAAGACTGCCAGCCAGTATGTCCATCTACAGCCAAATAATGTGTTACTAAGAACCACATTATTTTAATAATAAGAGTGAGAATAAACAAACATGTGAGAGTCAAAATACTTATAGGGTTTGATTACAGAGCAATGAGTTCAGCTTCCATAATTAGTCTATCACCCCAACTCGAAAGTTTAGATGAACCATCATCCTTCCAAAATAAATCTTTCTTGACCTTTGTCTGGCACTTCATTGGGGGGTGGAAAATTACTCCGATTTCAATCCTCTCCTTAAAAGAAGAAAAGGAGGAAAATCTACAATCTCACCCTAATACAGGTGACAAAGTAATTTTTCCACAATCAGTTAACATTCTTAATTATATTGAAGCATTTCAAATTAAATGTCTGCTACTAAACTATTAAATATACATTAATTATGCATAACTTGTAAAATGATAATCACTCTGGAATGAAGAAATTTCTCCTTTGGTTCAATTTTTTCAAGTAGCTGCTAGTCAGGAGTTTCAAGTTAATGAAAATTCCTTATTTGCCAAGTCTGCACAATAACCTAACCACATTAATCCTTCCAACTTTCTCATGTACAGATTGGCCTTAAGATTTGGAATCATGTGTGTTGCCAAGAGGGGCCTGGTTATTTTACATCACATTCTTGCCCCAAAGCTAAGGTGTGAGGATTGGATTGCTTCCTGCTAGAGGAAGGCAGAACACCATGGAAAATCCATAGTCTTTGGAATCAAGCTTGGATTTAGGCCCTGCCTCTACTGCCCACAGACAATGTGATGTTGGGCTAGTGAGTCTCTCTGAACCTCTCTATTTCCCCATTGGCAAAATACAGATAATTCAAACTTTCTAAAGCTATTATGAAAACACTGTATCACATACATAAAGTGACTACTAGCACGTAATTGGGACTCAATAAAGGTTAGTTTCTCATTCTACTTTTTTTGCAGCCACAAAATACTTATGTATTTTATTAGAGTAATAGCTGCATTTTCTATTTTGTTGTCATTTGTAGGCCTTCTGGCAGCCAGGTCACAGAGTTCATTTAAAACATTTACACACGTTGAAGACGATCTATGCCAGTTTTTTAAAAGATTTTATTTATTTATCTTTAGAGGGGAAGGGAAGGAGAGAAGGAGAGAAATATCAATGTACGGTTACCTCTCATGAGTACCCTGCTGGGAACTGGCCTGCAACCCAGGCATGTGCCCTGACTGGGAATCAAACTGCGATCCTGTGGTTCGCAGGCCCACGCTTAATCCACTGGGCTATACCAGCCAGGGCTATGCCAGTTTTTTAAAAGAAAGTTGTTACAGGAAAAAACAGCTTGATAAGCAGTTTTCTCCTACCTTTGATTCAAGAGCAATTTTTTAAAACAGTTTAACTGTTTTCAAAAACCTTTTTTTAAATTTCAGCCCCCACTGATTTGTGTGAATTGTGACTGTTATTACAGTAAATAAACAACACATTTATTCTTAGAAACTACTGGCCAGAGGAATCAGTAAAAGGAAACTTGGTACAGAAATACTTGGCAGAATTCTAGATTCCCAAATACGTAGTTTGCAAAATTTTGTGAATTCTAACAAAATGGTATCAACTCTTTGCTTATGAATATGGGGTTGTCTTAGAAAAAAAATTCTTGTCTGGATTTATTTTATTACTTTATTCTGGATTATTTAGCTGAACATTTGCAGAAAGTGAGTAAACTATTCTATTACTTGCTACTTACATGGTTAAGTCACCACACAGCACTAAATATCTCCTGAGGAAAAAAACAGCTTAGGATTTAAGCCAGGATGACAAATTTTATACCAAAACAGAAAGCTTCTAGAGATACCTAGAATTTTGCTTAAGTTTGAAGAATTCTACTATTTCAAGATGTTTTGTTTTTCCAAGGAGAGTTTCCTACTGTTTTGTAGTTTAGTAGAAATGTAAAAATTCCCTTCATCCATCCTGCTGGGCCATAAGAAAAGGACACTAGTTGGCATGCACTATTTTTATGCTGACGGCCAGAGCTATTTTGAGCCACTTTAGCACCATCCAGTAACTATGCCAAGAAAAAAGGTTAGCATGACATCAGCAAGCTAAAAAGTAAACTATCAGTTTTTTGTCACTTAATAAGCACATTATTCAACAACTCCACAGTTCATCTTTTGGTTATAAATAACAACACAAGTAACATAAGCCATTAAACCATAGTTAGAAAGTCCTACCTTTTGTGCATCTCCTGTAAAATACGCAATGGCCAGGGTGGGCAGAATCATGAATAGTGCATTGTAATAGAGAAGACCATATTTTCCCAGCTCCTAGGAGAGTAAATAATTAGGTGTTTCATTCAGTTCTAGAAGACAGATGTACAAAACCCTAAATAAACCAGCACCCCTCATGACACACACGTGCACGCATGCACCTCCCCTACAATATATGCAGCAAATTAGGCAAGTCAGAAGTTTTCAAACATAAAGAAATAGCCTGGGCTTTCAAAAGAAAAACATAAAGCTTTTAAATTTATTTGAAATAAATTTCTTGAGTGTTTAAGATGAGAATAAAAATGACGTCAACTGTTGCTTCAAAATAGTAGTTAGGAAAGAGGTTATGTTGAACATATATACACATCTCTATAGAAATATCTCCCACAGCCCTTCCCTTTCCAGAACAGAACCAAAAGTCATCAGGTTCCTGTGGGCTTTTCAGAATCATGACAGAGTACCATTTAAGAGAGACAGATGGATAGATGGACAGACTCACACCTACACCAACACAGACAGACGTAACTTTCCAGTGAATTACTTCTGAAAATGTGTATGTGAAGTACATTAAAAATCAAGATTATTATAAGTACAATTCCTAAAACTTAGTATGACTAGTTGTGACCTCAACTACCAGGGAGCAGTGAAGGACCACACACATCTCCAAACACAGGGAGCCTGTGAAAACTCTGGGTCTGGCTCCGACTCACACACTTCTGGGACATTCACCAGGAAGCAGAGTCACCTGAAAAAGTAGGTCCGAATTTGGGGTGGGAGGATTGGAGAGGCCAGGGGGGTAAAGGAGTAGTGAGGATAGGGATGCGGTATTTGCCTAACTTCTGTCACTGAAAGATCACTCAGTTATATAAAAAATCAAACCGCCTTCTCAGAAGAAGCTTTGAAAAACTGGCAATAAATATCCAACAACAGAAAACTAGTTGACCAGGCTATTAGACAACCATGTGATTAAATATTATGCAGCCACTAAAAATGTTTAATAATACTGAAAGGTGTTCATGAAACAGTACTAGATAAAAACTATAGGTTAGAAAACATTATATATCATTGCTCTTTTAAAATTTTATACAAAGCGTGTACATGCACCCATGCACGCGCGCGCGCACACACACACACACACACACACACACACTAAAGGATATCCACCAAAACAGTGCTTCTCCCTTGATGGTAGAATTAAAGAAGATTTATACTTTCTTCCTACTGCTTATCTATGTTTTCTACTACTTCTATTATAAATATGCATTATTTGTGTGATTTCTTTAAAGTTAAAAATGTTTTAAATTCAATAGCTGCATTCATGTCTGAAATGCAGCACCAAGTTCTCATGCCACATGACTCATGCTCAAAGGAGTATAGGCAGCTCTGAAATTGTAGGTAATAAAACTCCCGATTTATTAAAAGCTTCTCAGTGTGATGTTACCGCCTCTTGGATCAACCAAAGAACCAACTGCTTCCGGCCACCACAGCCCTCAGTGAAAAGGCACACCTCATATCTAACGGAACAAGAAAAAAGCCACAGGACTGGACAACGCAGGGAGCCAGAGACCTGAGTGTTGTCCATCTCTTAAAGAGGATGACTACACATCACACAACATACACATGCACACACCATCCAGACAACTGACAAATGCCGAAAATATAAATGCCAAACTGTTCTGTTTTTCTTTTCACATTTAAACTGTTTTGAGTATCTTTTACCCTGACTTCTTAAAGAGTGCATAGACTAAAATTTAACTTAGAGCATCAGCATAAGCATGCATTACTGTGTTGTGCTCTTACATGGTGTTGGCCTTAATGCTGTGTAACAGCCCCTGAATCATTTCTGAGTACTTCTGTCTGATTTTTATAGTTTTCCTGTTTGTTTCTCTGGCTGTTAGCTGGCCTTTCATACTGCTGGTAAGCCTCTCGCTGCCTCTACATAGAATGCCGTCCTCTAGTCTGTTGCTCCTAATTCATGAAAAGCAGATCAATATGCTTAAAAGGTCTCATACAAGTAAGTCACAAATTATTTCTGAATATGAAACTAAAGAGCTCTTCTGGTAATAAAATACTACTCAGAAACCCTCTTTGCTTTTTTCTAGGTTCTAGGATGTACTCTAGACTGTGCTGTTGAATAAGGCAGCCACTGGTCATACACAGCTATTTCAATTTCATTATAATTACATTAAACTATCAATTCAGTTCTTTAGTTGTACCAGTATTATTTGTATGCTCAACACCATTATCAAGTGCTCAACACCAATTGTGGCTAGTGTCTACTGTTAATAGCAGAAATACAGAATATTTCCATCATCACAGAAAAGCTCTATTAGACAGTACTGTTGAAACAGCTGAGGCTGCCAGACAAATGAAGTATTACTCATACCTATTTTCCAAGACAACAAATAGACTGAAAGGAAAAAAACAGAATAAAACTAAGTCTCTAACTGGCTCCTTTTCTTAAGCTATTTCAAAAGATAATTTTTTTTAATAGTAGCTTCCATTAAAATGTAATCATCATATGGAGTTATCAAGGTAAGTACATGGAGAACAAGACATAAAAGGTATATTTACAAAAGATTTGTTGGAAACAGATGTATACTGTCCCTAGTTCCTCAAGTATATTAAAAATAAACATTCTAGCCCTGGCTGATATGGCCCAGTGGATCAGGTCGCCAGTTTGATTCCCAATCAGGACAAATGCCTGAGCTGCGGGTCAGGTCCCCAGCTGGGGGCAGCGAGAGGCAACCTATTGATGTTTCTCTCTCTTTCCCTCTCAGAACAAATAAATAAAATCTTTAAAAGATAAATAAACATTCTCTGAAAATGAGAACTATTGGGATGGCCACGTATCTCTCTGGTTCTTTCTGGAGAAGGCAAAGCCCCTTGCCAAGATGAAACAAACTCAATCCTAACACTACTAAAAAGTAGGCAAACAGTGGTATTCATGATCCGAACTCCAAAAATGGACCTGAAATAGTTTCAGAAACACTGCACATATAATAGAGCTGACTGAAAACTAAGCAGATAAGATGATTTGACTGAAGAGAAAACATGGGTAGGAAAATAAGATAAGGCCTTGGTCTGCTACAAGGAGATAAAATACACTAGCTATTCAGGAAAAACCATGGTCATAATATCTATGAAAAATATCTCATGTGGGGCCTCGTACAGGCTACATTATGAAATAAAGGCCAACTCCTTCCATAACAACCCTACAATATGTAACCCTCGGTTCCATATAACTTCTTCTTATACTAGTCTAATCTTATGAGTATACCATCAGGTAGTAAAGCAAGGTGGCTCAAGTAACTTAGCTTTCTGACTTGGTCTAAAAATAAAATTGAGCATGTCTATACTCAAAGTATATAATTAAAAAAAGAAAAGTATACAGTAGACAAACTAACAGCAAATATCTCTAAAGCCTTTGTGTGCAGGCTGGAAGTTGAGAGAAGAGTTAGAAATATATAATTCATGAAATCTAGGCTGGCAAACTCAGTGCTGCCCCGGAGAAAGATCCTAACGCTCCCTAAAGTGTCCCATTATTTGTATGAAAAATACACAAAGTCCATTCTTTTTCTGTAGCACCTTCCAACATCACTTTTCCTCAAATCTGCTCAAGGGCTTCCAGATACTTCTTTCTTACGCAGGTTCCTCACCAAGTCCTCTAGAGTACAGCCATGAACACTTTTGGACACTTTTCTCTACCCTCAGAGATCCTGTTTCTTTCCCAACTCTCCTACATTCTCTTTATTCCCTGATGAACTGACATTATCATCCCCAACATCGGTAAACATCTCTTAAAGAAACTTTATATTGCTACCCACCTTTGAATCTAATTTTTGTTTTACGTATGCACCATTTGCTGCTGTCAGGACATCATTTATCAGAATAAAAATGTATCCTTCCAGATCAAATGCCAAGTCAGAGCTGCAAAACATAAGCAACACTTTAATAATGACTTACATTCACAGAACATGCATTTAATTTGAAATAGGTCTGAATGCAGTATTTGTAAGAACATTTCCTTATTTAGGTACATGAACATTGGGCATTTTATTAACTACTAGTATTTCTTGATTTCTGGTTATAAATTGCAATTTTAAACTCAAAAGAGTCTTCGGAAACAAGAAGCACTAACGCTTAAAATCATTAGCAATAAACAACCATGTCCATTAAACAGCACACTGCTCTGAATTCAAAATCAGACAATAACAAAAGCGACCAAATTCACTATTATAACACATCTGAAGCAGGCAGAAGGCATCAGAGTTCAATTTCACAGGCAAGGTAACCAAAAGGATGAGTCATTCATTAACCTGTCCTTTTCCAAAGGTTCACACAAAAGATAAGACTCTCTTGCACAGGTGGTTGGGCTACTAGATGGAATTTCTGATGTGTGAGATTAAGCTACAACAGTGTCCAAAAGCACACAGTAGGAACTCAAATACTTAAATTGTTTAATGTGCCTATGTGCTATGTTCATTGGCATTAGGGCAACTGAAGTTTTCTAAATTTAGAAGAGATAAGAATTTATTAAACTCAATAAATGAAAATCTAAAAAAGTATCCCTTTGTATTTTAACACCCTAGCTAAATAGTGGGACGACTATATATTTGTATCTATACTACTACATGGAACAAGACTTCTGAGCTCTATGCCACTGCATTTTTAGGGAGAACTAGCCTAATGCATACCCCTTCTTTCAAGCAGCCTGACAATCCCCTAGTTTCGGAAACCCTTCCTCCCAATCTCTTTCCCAAATAAAAGGTTTTAATTGGACAAGGTTGGTCCAGACAGCAATCCTCCTCAGAAACTCTGTAGGCTAGAGTTAGTTCCTGAGGAACTCCTATTGCTTGGCTCAATATTGGATCCCGAAATTTCAAGGAAATGCTTCAGAACTAGCAGAGCACCTCCGAAAGAAAAGTAGGATGCTCATACAGATTTTTTTCTCCTAAGAGGCAATATGTCTAGAGAAAAAAACAGTTAGCTATACAATGAAATTCTAGTAACCAATTATTCTGTCTCCTGCCCCTCTCCCCTTTATAACAATGAAATTTCACTTGGAAATTTATGGTGGAATAAACTTTGACTTACATTTCCCACTCTATCCCATCTATACCACAGGGATATAATGAAGGCAATGAAGGTATAAATGAGACAATCCAAGAGATATATTGTAACTCCCAAATAAAAAATATATGTCAGACAGAATTTGTGGCATTATCAAACCCATATAGGCATGCCCTGGGCTGAGTGGAATGTTGTAGAAGGCTTCTAGCCATCATTTTAATTTTCTGAGGCTTTAAATATACACTTTCTCCATCCATTTGAAAACTAAAACTTAAGGACAATGGAAAAAGCTTTAATAATTTAATAAACTATGTAAGTTATAGCATTTGTGATATATCTTAGGTGAGACCAAATAAAGCAATTCTATTATTTATTATTCTACAAAGTAAATAATTCATTACCACTTGCCTTTTCTGAGACACTATTTTCTTTAGCAGCATGCAAAGTAAAACAATGCTAGATGGTTTATAAAAGCACACAGGCTCTGGAGTCAGGCACGGATTCAAATTCCAGCCAGTTCTGCTATTTATCAGTTGTATCACCTTGAACAACTTACTGAGTTTAGGTTTTAGTTTCCTCAACTATAAAATAGAAAAATTACATCCATACCTTTCAGAGTTGTGAATATATACCTAATATGTATAAAGTGTCAAACATATTGTATGGCACATGATATGTGCTCAATCAGTAGAAAATAATATAATAAATCCAAAAACACATGAATTTAATTTTTAAGAATCTCCAAAATCTGATTTTTGCTAGCCTTGATCTTAATAAACCAAAAAGATTTAACAATTTGAAGGGTCTTTTGGATGCTTTTCAAAGATATAATTCTTATTTAGCCTATAAAAATTGTTCTTATTGTAACTGGTCATTATCGATAATTATTTTGACCATTTCTAACGTGCTCATAGGTTTATATACGCCCACATCTTACCTGGCAGCTACAAAGGCTCCAATAATCATGGCAAATACAGTCATCTTAATACTCCAAGAAAAAGTCTTTCTACAAAATAAAAAAATTTAAATACATAAACAAACTCATTTTACAGCATAGGCAAAAAAAAAAAGGAGAGATGTTTTCATTGAAAAAGAAGCTATAAACAGTCGTATCTTAAATGGTTCCAAGGAATTGGATATTTAAAAGTACCCTTTTGATGAAGCAACTTATTTTATTATATAAACAAGCATCTCAATTTGTCATTATTCTTATCATTTGTTATTATTGAGTTTGAATTTCCGCAAATTGGGATTTGAGCTGAAAAAGGTCAACACATTTGTAGTAAAAGTAGCCAAGCCTGGGACACTATTTAAAAACTATGCCAACCCAGTGGCAGCAGTCGGTAAGAATTCCTGAAAGTAAATCTCATGTTCGGACAGGTTTCTAACTCCAATTCATACCCTTCCCAAATACTGCTCCCATAAACTATCAATTCCTATAGCAAAGGGATAAAGTTGCTCAAACTTTCCAGAAGATAAAGTAGAAGCAAGACAAATAATTTCAACATTTTTATTAGACAATTCTTATGCTGGGTATCTTTTCTAAGTTACTAAAGTTTGTTAAAGAGTAGATACTAGAAATTTAGCTCACTTGAGTAAAACTCCTTCAGCAAACATTGTAAACAAGATGGAGAACCTTCTCAGAACTGTAAACATTGGCAAGCTGCAAAAGAGAAAAGATAATTAGGTAAAATAAAGTTTAATAATTTACTTTTTAACTGTTTTTAAAAGATGCTCCAATTTAGTAATTTAAAATAATGCTAAACTTTTCCTTCTATTATGGTATGATCAAATTAAACCCTTATTTCTCTCTAGAAATAATTCTTATTTGAAAGCCTGAAAGGGTTGCTTTTATAAAACTACTAGAATTAAGAAACACCAAACTCTGAAATAGTAAAGCTCATACATCTATTATCAAAGACTAACAGCCACTTTTTAAATTTTAACTGATTATGTATACCATATACCCTGAAGGGTAACCATATTAGTCTTTAAGAGAAAAAGACCTCTTTCTCCTTTCTTTACTTACTGTACTCTCTTCTCACACCCAACCCTCCAAATATAACACATTTTACAATAACCTTATTTCATGAAACATTCCTTAATTGTCCTTTTATGGAAGTAATTTTGTCCTCCTCTAAAATCTGAAAGTATTTTGCTTGGATTAACAAACATATAGCCTCTTATAATATAGTCACTTATGAATATATCTCATCTCACTGCAAAGTGCCTTATATTTAGCTGGCAATCAAAGATAGGGTGTGAATGAATAAATGAATGAATGAATGACAACAGATGAAAAAGAGTGAACTCTATTAAGCAGCCTTTGCAGCAGGTGTGCATTTCTTTCCAAGTGGGTACTGAGATGGAAAAGGATGCCCTGACCATGACAAATCTGACTTCCATGGAACTCTCTCCAGAGAGATCATCATGGTCATTCTGTCAAGTTTCTTGGGTCTGAAGAAAGAAGAAATAAAGAACACTTTGTCTCTGATCCTCAGAGATTTGCCCATTCTATTTTATAGTCATCCAGTAAGTATTCCAGGGGTTTAGCTCATATGGAAGTGCTGAAGCCATGGGTTTCTGTTAAATGGTTTCCTTGTGTGTATAATTTTAACATCACATACACCCAATACACACTGTCCTCCTTAAGTGGAGAAGCCAACAATTGGAAGGTTAGAGGATAATAAGACAATGTTGTCATGGAGTAGAGAGCTCTTGCTTCTTTCTAAAAGTGATTATGCTGCCTCTACAGTTAAACAGCCATGTACAAAATATTAATTGTATTTAAACCAGGGTTTTTATTATTTTACCTCATGTCAAAAAGGAAAACTACAAAAGTTCTCATATCTACCCTCTGATTTTGCTTGTGGAATTTGTCAAAATATTTATAAATTGTTTTAAATAATTTCAATCCCAAAAGCCTGGTATATATCCTTCACTACTATAGAACTGAAAAAATAATGAAAATCTCCTATCACAGCATTTTAGAACACATTAAGATTTCTATCATCAAACTGAGGGATAAAAACCCAAAACAAACAAAAATTCTCTTTCTCTTTAAACATAAAGAGCTTAAGTTAAAATCTTTAATGTCATCATTATTTAGTAACAGAAGCTTTCTGGTCCTTTCACTTATTTCAAAATCAATAATGATGTGTAAAGTATTTGACATTCAAGTACAGTTTCAAGAATACATTTGTTAACCTCGCTAGTAAAATAAAGTTATCCATACTTCAGTTTCTTTGTGCTGAACAGTCCCGTGATTTGGTTCCCAAAATATAGTAGAGGTAGTGGAAACGTCTAGAAAATTTAAAAAGGAATAACAAAACTCAGTAATAAAGATAGCTAAAACAAGGCCTTTCAAGCAGAAACAGTTTTGTTTATAATGATTAAATTCTTTCCGTCTAAAATATAAGATTAGTTCTCATACCCAATTTTGGCCCCCATATAGAGCCCAAACATTATTCCTGGATAAACAGAACTACTATGGCAGAGACAGGAACGCATGGGCAAGGGGGACAAATATGAATGAGCAGACATGTGGGACAAACATATTATTTACTTTAAAGTATGATAATGGATTAGCCCACAGCTCTAACATCAGCAGAAAAAGGAAATACATTTAATCTTCATGAGGAGTCAAGCAGATACAGACAGAAGAATAAGAATGTAAACCCGAAGAATAATGAATGAAGAATATACTGGCTAGATTAAATGTAGAAAATTAAAAAAAACAGTTACACTCCCACAAAATGTTCATTAATTTTAAAAAACCACATGGTTTCTTGGAGCTTTCCCCCCTTAATTTTAAAGAGCTTATGGAATTTTTTAAAATACATACTTATTTTTATTTAAAGAATACAAATTTTATTTGTTTATTTTACGAATACTTATTTTACTCATTTATTTAAGAATACATATTTATTCTTTATCTTCATTAGACCCACTCTGGATCGGGCGACAATAAGGCTGCACTTTTTAAATACCCAAGGCACAGATAAAAATATATACAGTAACTTCTTTTCAGAAAATAAAGTATTACTTTATCTATCTATTTACCTTTCGAGGTACATTACGGTCAAGGTCAGGAAACTTGACGACTCTGAGCGCCTTTCCCACCCAGAGAACTGCCACTGTGGCCACCATCTGTAAACAGAGAACACAGATTTACTGTTCCACATATAAAGACACACAGAAGTTCTAACGACATAAACCACGTAATGCTGAAGATTCCAACTAACCTGGCCAAGTCCAACACATAGTGAGGAGGGAAATCTACAAAGCGGTAGAGAGAAAAAACAGTGTCAGAAAAACTCAAACGTAGCTCTGTGAATTCAATGTGCATATCGGCAACGTTGACAGGCATTTTGATACAAAACACACCAATGTCAACCCCGATCTAAGGGAAAATCAGTGAGAAAAATCCCTGTAGTCAGGCAACACCGCTGGTTTTGTAGCCTCGGGCGGCCACTTGTCTCATCCTGTCCGGTTCTAAGATTTCAGTCCGCTGCTTGCAACGGATTTTCTTTTTCTTTTCTTTCTTTCTTTCTTTCTTTTTTTTTTTTTTTTTTTTGAAGGAAGTGGAGACCGGGGTCTTTTCAAGGGTTTCACACCTTTAAAGCAGAAATGCTTCTGCCTCCGGGTTCCAATGACGGCATCAGGCTCTCTTTAAATCGGCTTGAGGACGCGCACGTCCCCAGAGGCTGTCAGCGAATTCACGAACGCTGAAGCCCAGTCCCCCGGCCCAGGACGGGGAGGAGAGAGGGCATCCTGCGCTCTGCTCCCCGCCTGGTACACACTGGGACCAACAGGTCACCGTGCAACTTCGCCCCAGCGCTATGACGCGGAGGGTTTCCCGGGCACTGCACGGCGGGCACGGCCGGCAGGCGCGGTCCGAACGCACGCGAGTCGCCCGCACCTAGACCCCCAACCCCAGGCCCGGGCGCCCAGCCCGGTACGTCGCCCCGGCCGCGTGTCAGCCGCTCTCCCCAGCTCCCGGCCAACTCTCTTAAGCTTTAACTTTAGCAGCCCAAGTCCAGGGAGCCGGCGTCCCGCCACTGCCGCTGCCGCCAGCTCCTCTGCGCGGTCTCGGCTGCGGCCGCCTCGGCCCTACCTGTAATTGGTGAGCACGCTCTTGTTGACCACCACGATGAGGAAGGAGCTCACGCCATAAAAGCCCGCAGCCAGCAGCTTCAGGAACACGGTCAGCGTTTCGGCCGACGCCATCCCCAGCTGCTCCTCATGTCTGTGTGTGGAGGATTTCGCGGGGGCTTCTCCTTTAACCCGGGCATGCTGACGTCTATGAACTTCCGCCATAGCTGCGGTGGCGGCAGCGGCCTGGGAGGGGAGCAGCGGACGGGCCTGGCGGCGGGGCCCAGCGGCAGAAGGCCTTGCGGCGGCAGCTCCCGGGGAGTTCGCAGGGCTGGAGCCGACGGACTGGGCCGGCTGCGCGCTCTCCGCCACGACTTCCCGCACTGCCGTCGCCCGTCCCCGCCCAGGGATAGGAACGCCGGAGTTCACACCCCCTGGACTTTGCTCGGGCATTGTGCAACGCGAGGTCAGAGGGCAGGGCCGTGAGGGGATAGGCCTAGGCAACGGATCTAAAGCGCCTGGAGAAGGGGCAGCGGCCACACAGAATACAGGGCTAATGGGAGAAAAAGCCAGAGGGAAACCATTCGGAGACACCAGAACGCCAGACTGCTAGCACCGCCGAGAGCGACGCCGCCACTTTGCGCCTGCGCGCAAGCTTCGCTGGGTTTCTCTGCTCCCGCTCACCTGGGTTGGCGGTGGCTGGGGTTTTCGGGGCTGGAAGCCTGTTCTCCAGATAACTGCTGCAATAAATAATGCAGACCTTCCTTCACTTGATAAAAGTGGCTGAATGAGTGAGAAGTTCACAGGTTGTGTGCGCCTAAGCTGGTTATGAAGGCTCTTTTGGTCTCTCTTGCAGAGCGTCAAAGCCACTCAAAAGTATCAGATGCGAGTCAAAAGTAAATATTCAACTTATCTGCATTGCCTCAGGCTTTTTATATTTTCGGAACCCAGAAAACATCAAATATATATTCTTTGCAAAGCAAGGGAAATTTTTAAAATAAAAATATTGACATGTCCAAAAAGATAATCAAGCACCTTGTGAACTGGTGAAAGAGCAAGGTGTTGGGAGCTGAATTCCAATTCTAGGTTTCCTAGAAATGCCGTCTCGGCTGGGTGCTCTTGGGCCAGTTAGTTGAACTCGCTGAGCCGGGATCTCCTTATCTCTATGAAAGTAACTAGCACAGAGCTAGTTTTCAGGAAATAGTAGCCATTATTATATAACAGAAACAAATCGTTATATTAAGCAAAGAAATGGCACACCTAATTTTAATGTCAAGAAAGAAAAAGAACTTTGAATTACTTCCGTAAATATTTTGTCTATAACTCTTTTTTCCATATTTTTCAATTGTGCTAAAAATATACATAACAAAATGTACCATTTTAACCTGCTTTTTATTATAGTAAAATATGCATGATATAAAATTTATTAAGACTTTTTGAACGTACAGTTCAGGAGCATAAGTACACCAACATTGTGCAACTCTCACAATTACCCATCTCCAGAACATTTTCATCCTCTCAAACTGAAATTATGTAACCACTAAACAGCAACTGCCCTCCACCCCCATCAACTAGGAACCACTCTTCTACTTTTACTCTCTATGTATTTGACCACTCTTGGTACTTCATATAAGTGGAATCATGCAATATTTGTTTTTTTGTACCTAACATTTCATTTAACATGTTTTCAAGTTCATCTACATGTAGTATGTATCAGAATGTCCTTCCAATGTACGCATATTTGTTGGTCTATATCTTTCTACTTATTCTGGGAACACCTGGTTTTCTAACGTTCCTTAGGAACAAGTGGCAGACAGAATGAAGTTCTTAGCATGGCTTATAGGACTTGGATGATATGCTCCTGCCATACCTCCAGAGACAGTCCTCATGTTTCTCTTCTTTAGCTGCCACTAAGTCAAACCACCCATCCCTGAAAAGACACTGGAACCCTGATGTGGGTTCCAGTGTCTTTACTTCTATGTGTTTACTCCCATTATTCCCCCCATCTGGCGTGCTTTTTTTTCCCCCTCTCTCCCCCTTCCTCCATCTCCTGAAGAACTCTTACTTTTCCTTTAATGTTTAGATAAAACATTACCCCCTCTCTGGGTGACTTCCTTCGCACTGCTGTCCACACAATTGGAGAGCACCTCCTTCCTGCCCCTCCCAACCCATCTTTGTGCACCCCCTTTATAGAGGCTCTGAAATCACATGTTTACATGTCAGTCTGTTCTGCTAGACAGTGAGCTTTCTGAGAACTGGGAGAGGCAGCGACACCTAGGACAGTTTAGATGTTTTTGTTAAGTGAACCAATGAACGGTATAACTTTTTAACAGTGAGGAAAATGGCCAAAATTGTTTTTTAATCGCTAGTAGCAAAAGAAAAATAACTAGAAAGTTATATTTTGAGAAACATCTTTTGTGAAAAATATCAATGTCCCTCATAACAATAGCAAAGAAGCAAAAACAACTCATATCTCATCAGTATCTTTCCCTCTTTCTCTCCCACGCCAACCCCTTCTCAGAAAGTTCAATTGGTAGCAGTTTGGAGGCTGCGCTTAGAGCCATTTTCTATGCATGTATGAATACATATACATATACATACCTACATACAAATATTTACACACATTTTATACATTTTTTAACATGCATGGAAAGAACTAGGGAAGAATGCTGATCTCAAACCAGAGACTGCTTCTGACACTAATTTTGTGACCTTGGACAAGTTACTTAGTATTACTGTACTTCAATTTCCTCATCTGTAAAATGGGGATAACAATAATATGCAATTCAGGATGGCAGTGAGAATTGAAGGGGATAATAAGGTAAAGTACTTAAAATATAGTACATACTTTATAAGTGTTTATAATAATAATTACTGTTATTTTCATTATTATCATTCAGCCTTTCTCTTTTCACTTAGTGTTCTTCAAAGGCCTTTCTGTGGCGATACAAAAACTCTACCGCAGCCCTGGCTGGTGTAGTGGTGGTTTGAGCCCGGTCCTGCCAACCAAAGCGTTGCCAGTTGGATTCTCAGTCAGGGCACATGCCTGCGTTGCAGGCCAGGTCCCCAGAAGGGAGTACAACCACACATTGATGTTTCTCTCCCTCTTTCTCCTTCCCTTCTCCTCTCTCTAAAAATAAATAAATTAAATCTTTTAAAAATTGTTAAAAAAAAACTCCACCTCTTCTTTTTTGAGAAAAAAATGGCTGCAGAGAATTGTGTAAGCTACATGCATTTGTAACCCTTCCTGTGGACATTTAGGTTGTCAGTTTTTCAGTTTGTAAACATTAGAGCCTTTATTATCCTCGTCCATTCAACTTTGTACAAGTTTCTAAAAGTGGAATTGCTTAATTAAAGTCTACAATTGTTTTTTTTAATTATAGAATTAACAAATTGAGCCCCAAAGAGGTAGTACCAATTTTATATTTCCACTAACACTATCAAAATAAAACTACATAGTAAAGTCATATGGTAACAATGGATATCATTACAGGAAGCTAGATAATAGTTCAAGTGCTGCCCTGTGGAGTATGAAATGCTAGGTGTAAATTTCTGCTATTGATCAATTGCAGTTACACAAAATGAAATGAAAATAAATCTCTTGAAAATACTGAGCCAGGCAACTACTGTTCTTTTTCTCAGCATGATTACATTATTGCTTAACAAATATTTAAGATCTACCATAGACAGGGCAAGAACTGCATTGGGTTTTCTCAACACCGGTAATGTATGGACCTTCAGTAAAATGCTGTCACAGTCTAATGGAGTCGAGCATTCACAATAGGTGCCCACAAAGATAAGATGGGTGCCCATACCCTACTAGGGTATTTAAAACAGGTATTTAGACTTTTAGGTACTTACAGGTATTTTAGGCACTCCAACCTATTTCCTAAAATCAGTAATACTAATCACATAATTATATGTGGGGGGTTGTATATTACTTAATAAACTTGAATAAAGATTGGACCATATCTTAAAAAGTTGAATAAAATTGGAAAGACTAGATTTAAATGTTCTCATTGATACAATATTGTCTGTATATATTGTATATCTTGATAGGTGGAATTACCAGCAGAAAAACTTCCTCGTAATTAAATCATGTCTTTTTATCAAAACATTGCTTTAGCCATCATGTTTCTCCACGAGGGAGACTGATTCTGTATACTACTTGTTAATATGACTCATATTTCTTTTCCTTATACTTCTCATTTTTCCCCTTGGCTCACTGCTCTTATACTGGAATTATAAGAGAGTCTTTTGGTATTCATTTTCATTCACCAGTTTCTGTTTAACTCCCAGGCTAGTTCATACCCAATGCCATGCTATGTTGCACCACTGATTATTTTGTAGCCAGGGAACAAACATCTGTGTTTTCTATTTGAGCTTTTAAAATTCTGAGAAGCCAAAAGCATGACAGGATCATGGAGCTTCTCTGTGGCTCCTCATACTTCTCTATGTTGGCCTGGAAGGAATAAATTTATTGACCACTGATGGTGAGTCAGGCAATGTGCTACAACTGCAATTCATCCTTACCTATGTAGGAAGTAGGTACCATGAAAAAACGAATGAATAGGAAAACAAGAGCCAAGAGGGAGTATTAGGCATAACCTGAGTCCCACGGCTCTAAGGGACTTACATATAGATTTAGCCCTAGTCTGTGCTTTTCCACTAGATAATCCTGCTTCATTTTGGGTAGGTGGACATACTTGCTTTTAAAAGATGTTCTTGTAATGTCATTACCTCCTTCATTTCCCAAGTTTAGTGTTTATCAACACTACAAAGAAGAATAACCAGGATATAAAAACAGCAATCTATTGAAGTCATAGTCAGTCATAACCCATTCACAAATACTAGCATACTAGACATCAAATTAGGCATTTTGGGAATATAAAGACATTTTAAACTCAATATGTTTACAACTGAATTTCATCCTAAGTCAACGTCTTTGAATCTTCTATCCTGGTGGACTGGCCTTACCATCTACCTATTCACCATGGCTCTTCTCTCTCTATAACTGCCCCTCAATCACTCTTCAACTCACACCAAACTCATTTTAGGCCCTCCACTACACTGACGCTGCTCAGTCCTAAGTCACCAATGACCTCCATGGAAATAAACCCAGGAGGCAAGGCACTCAGTTCTTCCCTTGCTTGACCACTCTACAGCATTTGCACTTCTGTCCTTTATCTGCACCCTCTTCCTTTGACTCTTGAGATGCTACAGTCTCTCAGAACATCTCCTGTTTCTCTGGATGCCCCTTCTCATGTTGTTTTGCTAGAACTTCCTCTTCTATTCTATATTAGCTCCATGAGCAAGAGTGGATACAAGTTTTATGAAACTTTTTTGAGACTGCTTTCAAAAAATGCAAAATTAGGAATGTAAACTGAAGCACAAAAATAGATATCTACTTAATATAAGAAATCAGAACTAACAAAAATTTTAAATATGACAAATGGCAGAAAATTTATATATTTTTACTGTGTCAATCATAGTTCTGTAGTTTTTTCTATACTGTAGGCTGCATATTTACTGCTTCTGTATGTGATAACAATTTTTGTGTGTGTATTTATGTATATAATCTCCATCCATCCCCAGGTATGAAAAACTCTGGCCATAGTCATCAAGCTAGCTAGAATGAACTAAGGACTGCTAAGGACTGATATAAGAGCAATGCAACCAATCAAGTGTCTCCTTGTTCATTGCCAGGGGGGTTATAATATATTTTTGATAGAGGCAATAG